TCATGATGTTTAAGCCGTATCCTCTGCACGAGAGATGTAGGACTGTGTATATCCAGTGAGATATAAAAGTCAATTATAAATCTAAAAATCAGTTCATTAAGAAATGGAGTTTGTGTTTTGTTTTAAAGGGCGACCTAGGTGATTACTTTATATTTGCCTATGAAACCAAAAAAAAAAAAAAAAACCAAACTCACTACCATTGAGTCAGATCCGACTCAGCAAGCCCTCCTTGGGATTCCAAGTCGGTATCACTGTTGTTGTTATGTGCCGTTGAGTCGGCCCCAACTCATAGCGACCCCTCCTTGGGTTTCCGAGGCAGTATCACTACGGAAGTAGGATTGTCCAACCTTCCTTCCGAGGAGTGGCTGGTGGGTTTGAACCGCCAGCCTTCTGGCTAGCAGTCAAGTGCTTTAGCCACTATGCTACCAGAGCTCCTACTGGTATCACTATGGAAGTAGATTGCCCAGTCTTCCTTCCGAGGAGTGGCTGGTGGGTTTGAACTGCCAGTGCTCTGGTTAGCAGTCAAATGCCATAGGCACTACACCACCAGAGCTCCTATTTGCCTGCAAAGGAGTTATAATTCAAAGTATGGAACGGTATACTTTAAAAATGAATATAGCTTTGTTCTGTGCCTTGTAGAACTTAATAACCAGAAAGTATACTAGAGTCTAGTTTGCTCATTTTACGGACATGCTGTTGATCTGTGGGGAGGCCATGAGAGGCCTTACTACTTACTTATTAACTGTAAGTAAGTGCTGTTTATACAGCATCACACAACTTCTGTATCAAAGCTCGTTAATATAAGATGTAGGAAGGAAATTTTCTATAACATAGGCTGGGATGGAGAACCTAGATGCAAAAATGTTTTAAAACCAAACCCAAGTCCACTGTCATCTAGTTGATTCTGACTCATAGTGACCCTTTAGGACAGAATAGAACACTTGCCCCATCTTGTTCCAAGGCTATAAGTCTTTATAGAAGCAGACTGGAATGCTTTAACCACTACACAACCAGAGCTCCTTAGAATGTTTTATAGATCTTTTCATTAAGCCTTAAACAAGACAAAGACAAAAATGAAGATGATCATTTGATTGAGGGAAACTGTCAGCATGTACCCATACAGAGGCTGATGGAATCTGCTAGATCACAGTCATAGTGTTCATCATATATGATAGAGAACAAGGAAGTCATCACAGAATCATGGGTGGTGGCAGGTCAGTTCATCACTGTCACGGGTGCTACTACAGAAGGGGATGGGGGTGTGACTGATTGGGATATGTATATAATTGCAGGTTAAAAAGTTCATAGGATTGGGTGGTTTTGGTAACTCATTAAGGACATGTCCAGATAAGTTCTTTTTTAAGGACACACTCACACAGGTTTCCTAGTTATTTATGTAAATAAATTTCTGTATATTAGTTAATCTACTTTCAACCACGTTCTTCCTGAGGGCAAGCTGCCCCTTCCTGGGCTGGGATTTGTCTGAGCACAGCCACTTTTTTGGTTTAATGGTCAGCACGCATTGGGGGACTGACATAAAGAACACAAATGGAGTCTGAATTTATGTCAAGACTCAAAATGGAGTTAGGGCTCCAGCTGTAGACTGTAGCTTTCCACAAATGAAGTGCTTTTAGATTATAGACTCTAAAATAAACACTAGAAAAATTTTTAAAGCTCATCTGGGAGAAAAGAGCCCCATTGGAGAAGGAGCCCCATGATTAGGTCATTTTATAAGAATTAAACATGTCAAACAATAAAAGAACTTAAAAAATTAGAAAAATATTTTTTTTGGTTGACTTCCTTTTTCTGTATAGATAGTAATTGAGAAAGAATGTTAGAATAAATGGAGTTAGTTGGTAAATACTATACCCGTATTTAAGTATGTGAGGGAAACCTTTATGACACAAATTTCCCATGTTTAACTGTAATTCTCCTTTTCAGGTATGTTTCATTAGCAATCATTTTTCTCATTGCTCTGAGTTTTGGGCAGTCATGTGTTTTGTGAAGAAGTTAAATATATTAACCACCATTAAAAAAAAAGATAATGTGATAAATACTAATAAAGAAAGATGTCTTATGGAATAACTCACTCACTGCCATCGAGTCGTATCCAACTCATAGCGACCCCTCCTTGGGTTTCCGAGGCGCTATGGAAGTAGATTGCCCAATCTTCTTTCTGAGAAGTAGCTGGTCAGTTTGAACCACCAGGCTTCTGGTTAGTAGTCAAATTCTTATGGAATAGTATTGGTGACATAAGAAATCGTCACAGACTCGGTTGCTTAAAATAACACATATTTCTTATCTTACAGTTCTTTAGGTTAGAAATTGGCATGGGTCTCACTGGGCTAAACCAAGGTTTCTACTGGCCTTCATTCTTGCCTAGAGACTCTTGGGGAGAATGGTCCCTTGCCGTTTCTAGCTTCCAAGGCTGGCCACGTTCCTTGGCTCATGGCTCCCTTCCTTACTCTTCAAAGCCAGCAAAATAGCATCTCTGAACCTGTTTCCATCTTCACACCTCTTTCTCTGATTCTTTCTGCTTTCCTTTTTTAAGGACACCTGTGATTACATTCAGGAGCTCTGGTACCATAGTGCCTAAGGCACTTGACTGCTAACCAGAAGGCTGGTGGTTCAAATCCACCAGCCACTCCTTGGAAGGAATCTACTTCCATAGTGATACTGCCTCGGAAACCCAAGGAGGGGTCGCTGTGAGTCAGGTCCGACTCCACAGCACATAACAACAACAACAACAGTGATTACATTCAGGCGCTCTGGTGGTGTAGTGCCTAAGGCATTTGACTGCTAACCAGGAGGTTGGCCGTTCACACCCACCAGCCACTCTGTGGAAGGAATAGACTCGATGGCGTGAGTTCAGGGTTTTTTTTTTTTTTTTTGGTGATTACGTTGTACCCACCTGGTTAGTTGGGATAGTTTCCTGGTCTCCTTACTTTATTTAAGATTAGCTGATTAGCAGCCATAACTCCCCTTTGCTGGGCAACCTAATGTATTCCTTGCATTCCTGGTGGTGTGGTGGTTAAGCCATTTGACTGCTAGCCAAAAGGTCAGCGGTTCATAACCCACCAGCCGCTCAGCCAGAAAAAGATTGGGCAGTGTTCTTCCGTAAAGATTTATAACCTTGGAAACCCAACAGGGGTCACTATGAGTGAGAGTTGATTCAATGACAGCAAGCTTATTTTTTTGAGTTTGGGGTTAGAATATGGACATCTTTAGAGGGTACCATTAAATAAATATTAAGTTTTTTTTTGTTTTTTTTTTTTAAAGCAAGTTGCAAAATTGTTAGAGTAAAAGTGGTGATGATAAACAAAGGAGACCCAGAGGCACAATGGCTAAAGCATTTGGCTGCTAACTAAAAGGTTGGTGGTTCAAATTCAATATCTACTCCATTGGAGAAAGATGTGATAATCTGCTTCAGTGAAGATTTGCAGCCTTGGAAACACTATGGGATAGTTCTATTCTGTCCTACAGGGTTGCTATGAGTTGGAATCAACTTGATGACAGTGGGTTTGGTTTGGATGGGTTTGATGATAATATGGAGTAAGATATAATCCACTATAAGGGAAGTCTGTCTTCAAAAATCTGACACTATAAGAAAATAAGCATTGACTGTCTTACTTTACTGAAAGATTCTTAATTATTAATTTTTTTTACTCTCAGGCAGTGGTACGAAATTCCATTTATATACACAGTGACTGTTGGGTGAAATGAGGTGTGCTGTGTACTTCCACAGTCTCCCAGAGGAGTTCTCTAGGCCTTGTTTCACTTCAATCAGGGGTATAGTAACTCTCTGATCTCTGACACATAAGCACATTTAGTTCTGTGCACAATGAACTGTAAATTTTACCAAAAGTAACAATTAATAACATACAAAGCATAATAGCACTTAATAGTTGTCCTTATTAATGCATTGAGACATATCTTTTACTTACATAGTGCCCCTTTACCCAACTTTGAGTGATTAAAAATCTTTCTATAAAAAGCATTAGGTAGGAAGTAATTTCCTCCAGATATGCAGATGGAAAACGGCAAGAATTCACACACAACCTGGAATTAACAGATGGGTCTAACAGTACTCCTGCTGGCATGAGTTGTTTCCAGAGTACAGTGGCCATGCTATAGCCTTTTGCAGAAAACTCACAAATTTGGCCTCAGTACCTTGGTGATTCACACAAACAAGATAACCTCATTGCCTTTATTTTCATAAGTTTTGTGTCCTTAAGAATTTGCACATCTGAATTGAAATATATTGACCATTTCGTCTGCCTGTTTATTTTTCCATCCCTTACTTTGTTAAACATTGAGTTTCTAAACTGATAGGTCATAATATTTGTACCATGATTCTCATACAGCTCTTTTCTACTTAATGGTAAATTTTAAAACAATTATTTTTAATTCAAACTTTTTTCTCCAGCCCTTTGGATTATGAGGCATGTTGCTATTAAAATGAGATTGGTTAGGGAAAAATACTACTGTTCTGTTTTAATAATGTAATTTTTTGTGCATTACTGAAAAAATGTAAATTAAAATACTTAAGTCTGAAATATTATAAAGAGATTATAGAAATGCTCAGTTAACTAGCATTTAAGTCTTCATTTGTTCCTGGACCATATAAAAAGTAACCTTAATATATATGTAATGTATACTTAACACAGTGAGTTTTCAGGTTCCTTTCTTTATAACAACAAACAAAAATCTGTTGCCTGACAAATCACAGCTTAATTGTAGGTGGTAGTGTTTTTTTACTTGTACATTATATTACACTGTCAACAGGCATTTTGATAAGCTCAGTGGGCAGGCGCAGTCTAGATATTTGACTTTTGGCAGGAGGCATATGAAATAGTTTAAATAGTTTCACTGCATATTTATTGCTCAGTGAATGTGCACTTGTTAGAGGGCTGCCTTTTAAAAAAAAAAAAAGCTGAGGGATAAAATAGCAAAGTATTCTTTCATCATTTTTTGTGCTTACCGTATGGTTTACTGTTTAGGTCTTGGCATGCCTTTTGCAAAGAGAATGATTTGGTGATGGAGTTGTCCCACTGACTGATGGACTCAAAGAAGAGAAGGTAAAAGCATTCCCTCCTCTTCCCTGAGCCTTCTAGCCTTCTAGGAAAACACAACAAACAATTCCCGATTTGTGTAGCTCTGTCAGTTTAATTTTCTTGTCAGTGGTTGTTAAGTGGAGGAGGACACTGGTAGTTGATTGGTAGAGAGAGAAAGATACTAAAATAATGTTCGTTAGTGATAAGTTTTATTGCTAGTTTCTTTTTTTATGCTTATAACCAAACCAAACTTACTGCTTATAGAGTCAATTCTGACTCATAGTGACAGAGTAGAACTGCTCCACAGAGTTTTCAAGGCTGTAAATATTTACAAAAGCAGACTGCCTCATGGTCCTCCCATAGAGCAACTTGTGGATTAGAACTGCCAAGCTCGGTTAGCAGCTGAGCGCTTAACCACTGTACCACGAGGGTTGTGTCTTATGCTATAAAAATGTCTTCATTTTATCATTTTAAAGCTCTTGTAGCATTATTTGTCATGATTAGTTTCAGGTCTTCAGAAATAGCCTAATTTTAAGCATCTACCATCCAAGGAAGGTTGGGCAATCCTACTTCTGTAGTGATACTGCCTCGGAAATCTAAGGAGGGGTCGCTATGAGTTGGGGCCGACTCGACGGCACATGACAACAACAACAGCAACAACCATCCTTTGAAAACCAGTATGGGAGATATTTCAAAAGATGGTTCATTTGTGGCTTCCCTCCCACAATATCATGGTCTTACAAAATAAAGAAAACAAAAGTTTTTGTGTCCCATTAAAATATTGGCATCAGTGTTCTAAGAATAAAAAATGAAAATAATGTATGATCAGTGGGGGAAAAACTTTTGTGTTAAGGAAACCTTGAGTATATTAATTTGTCCTTTGCTCATGCAGCTGTGTATTTTGTGTTCTTTGAACCAGAAGTCATGAGATAGGTAAACTTCTTGGGCTAGAATATGGGTAAAGCATGAAGGATTTTGCTGGTACTTGTTATAAATTTGATTCTCAAATTTTTAAGTAGCAATTTTAGAGCATAAACTCAGTATAAAGTAAAATATGGATCCTTGTTGCTCATATCTTTCTCATCAAATACTTTTTACCAATTACAAATTAAAATTTTAAAGTAAGACTTCAACTTGGGGCATGTTATTAAAATTTTAATTTCCAAGCAAGAAGTTGATATATTGAGAAGTTAGAATCTTGGAATTTTATGCTACTTAATCATGAAACTTCCAAAAATAGGCCAGGCTTTATTTGCTTCTTACATAGAAATAAGTAATGTGTAAGTTTAGATTATCCATAAGCATTTTATAAATAGTTGTTTGATCTGGGCACCTGTTTCAGAACCAAAGCATAATTTACATGCTAGTTAAACTGTCTGGCCCAGACACCCATGTTTTGGTTAAAGACACATGCTCATGGAAGTATTATGAGCAAAACACAGGGACCTTCACTGCAGAAACAAGGTATTTGTCTTGATTTTTGTAGCTCAACAGAGGCAGAAGGATCCAAAGAAAGAGGCCTGGTCCATGTCTGGCAGGCAGGATCCTGTTCTGTAACCCCAGAGAGATTGCCAGGCTGGGGAGGAAAGACGGTTCTTCAAGCAGCCCTTGGAATGAAACATGGAGTTCTTCTGACTGAAGGTACTGAAAAGAATGGCTTAACCAGTACTAACTGAAACTCTAAGAAATGCTGAGTATGTAAGATCGGGTGAGATAGTTACTAGGCACCAGAAGTTCCTAATGAACTTTGTCAGAACTTACATTCCTTTTGCTTTCAAAATATGTCCTTACCCCTATTATCAGAAATCAGATTTGTTCTTTAAGATGTACCAGGACTAGAATAAAAGACAGGGTTATGATTTTTAAATTATATAGTAATAAGTACATGAAAAATTAACTTTAAGGTTACTTATGCAGAGACTCCTTTGGTGTAGTTTTGGTTCACTAAATACATGAGAATAATAATGCTAACAATAGCTAGCATTTACTGAACAATTATGCACGTCAGACATGGCACACTAAGAACCTCACATGTGTTACCACTTTGAGTCTTCACAACACCCAATTAGGTAGCTGCTGTTATTCCCATTTCTCAGATGAGGAAACTGAAGTTCAGGGAAGTTAAATCCTGTCAGTCAGGATTGAAATCCAGACAGTCTGATTTTAAACACCTGCTTTTTAAGAAGCCACCTTGCTATACTGTCTCAGTACAATTGTTATTAGGCGTAAATAGCAGTGCACACAACCATATTATAAAATCTATAAATCTGTAACAAACAGAAACATATGCTACAGTTTATATAGAGAGTTCCCTTTAATCTTGATGGCATTTTATTAAGTCAGTCATGATAAATTCTATTTTGGCCAGGACGGCTGTCAGCTTAACTGATTTATAAATTTCTACTCTGTAAGTATTTATTGTTTATAAAATAATGCTTTAGTATTTTCCTTCTGGGAAAGAAAGACAAATTATAGGAAAACAAAGCTTAAATCTCACTGTGGTCATTTTATAGGGTACATGGTCTTTCTTTGCAATCTCTTTTCTATTACTTTGCTTTTATTATAATTATATATATTACTAGGCAAGAATTCAGAAAAAGGCTTTTTAAAAATGTGAACCATATTTAGAATTTGCCCTGTGAGTTTCAAAATGTATAGTTCTTACCACATATAAGTGGAATTCTGTTGTTTTATTAGTCTTTTGGTAAGATATTTGGAAATCTTTTAGGAACATGATCTCCTTAAAATCTCGAACCAGACCTAAAATCAGTGACAACAGAGGGAAACTTTTTGAAGTGTATATAGAAATAGACCATCCATTGCTCGTGTCTAAGCAGTGCTCTAGTTTTAATTTTCAAAGTTTTGAAAATCCCACTCCACCCAAGTGTGTGGTTTGAAATGATCAGGGTCTCCAGTGCTACCTTTCCTGATAGATAAGGAAATGGTACTGATTGGATGCTAGGAATTTTCAAGCTGCTTTATCTCTATTCAGTTTGGACCATTACTCGTAATTCAATGAGAACACTTCATTGATTAACTATTTTTGGTATATTCCAAGTTAAGAAAGGAGGGAAGAGTCTTTTTTTTTTTTCTTCACTATTGCTATCTCTAATGGAATAATATCAACTGAAAGAGTTGGTCAGCTGTTGCAAATGTATTGTTCTATCACTTGGGAAAAAGTAGTTAAGTTTAAAAATCTTAACCAGTGAGCTTATTGTTCAATACTCTTTATCTAAGCTAGAAACTCCCTAATAAAAGTAGATGTCTTCCCTCTGCAGTTCTTGTGTTCTCCTTGCTCAGATATGGTGAGTTAATGTAAATATTTAATACTATCTACGCTGTATAATGGGCTAGAAATAAAGCCTGCATGTTTTGATAATCAACTAGATTTCTGCTCTGTGGGAAAAAAAAATAGTGTTTATTTCTTCATTAATTAAAAAAAAAGTCTTTGGTCATAAGAATTCTACTTCTGTGTGGGAAAAAAGGCTTAGTGAACTTGGTTCAACTTTTTTCAAAATCCACAGACAAATCCTTTCCTATGAATTTTTTAGCCAGCATAGATGATATGCACATGCAGCTGAACTACCGCAATGCTGCAGGAAGACTCAGACTTGGCAGCATACCTGGTTACAGATTATTGTCATCCAAATTGTGAACAATTTGCTGGTATACCTAACTCACTGACACCTGTCCTTTTAAATCTAACAGTAGCCTGTCACCCTGACAGCTTCATTTGTTTTTTGCTTGGTTTATTTTGTTGAGATAATCTGTTTTTTAAACAAACCTCACTTCAGAAACGCTATCTTGTACACAAAGTTAATAACTGTAACATTTAAAAATATAGTACAAAACATGAAGACAGACACATCTTGTTAACGCTGGAGTTTTCTGTACATCCTGTAGGCACAAAGCTAATTTTTAGCTTTGGTCAGAATGAGTGTCTTAATATTTTAATGACATTGCGTAATTTTCTGCTGCTCTGACTTGTTCAGTAGTAGTGAATGTTGCAGATATTAGAGAATGTGCACATTTTATCTTATCTTCTGTTTATTTTATCTTAACATAATCATTATTTTGTCTGCAAGCACTTAGAATTTGCTTCTGTAATAGCCTATGATGATTATCCCCTGATGTGTTCTTAAAACCGTGTAACAGTTTTGTGTAAAATTAGTGAAAAATGCCTGCCTTGAGCATTGTGCTCTTTTAAGAACTATGTCTATGGGATCAAAGTGACAACAGCAACTTGAAAGATTAGATAGGAACCTTAGGGGACAGTGAGTTTATGTTAATGGAGGCAGAGAACAACTCAGAAAAGGAGAGTGAGAATGGTTACACAACTGAAAGAATGTAATGTCACTGAAATGTACATGAAAAAACTGTTGAATTGGTGTATGTTTTGCTGTGTCAGCTAACAACAACACAAACTAAAAATTAAAAAAACACAAAAGCAACCTATGATTGATGATAACCAATAGTAGTGGGACAGTGTTAGAAGGTAAAATGAGGTTGAAGGGAAAGAGTAATACTCTTCATTTGAAAGTAACCTCCTGCCAATTTGTAGAATTCTGTCTATTCAGAATGCTAATACCAATTTGTTAAAAGATAAATGAATAAATGTGGCATGTTTCATGCTAGGACCAAAGCCCTACAACTGTGTTTTTGAACATTTGGAAAAAAAAATCTGTTATGTTAAATCTAGATAGAACTATAAGTTTGCTGATAAAAATTCTGTTAATTCACTAACCCACTCTTTTTTTTTTTTTTCCTCTCAATCTTCAGATGGTGAGGTCTACAGCTTTGGGTCTCTTCCCTGGAGACGTGAACCATCAGAGATTTGTCCAAGTAGCCCCATTCTAGAAAATGCCCTGGTTGGGCAATATATTGTTACTGTGGCAACAGGGAGTTTCCACAGTGGAGCAGTGACAGAAAATGGCACAGTGTACATGTGGGGGCAGAATTCTGCTGGCCAATGTGCAGTGGCTAACCAGCAGTACGTGGCAGAGCCGAATGCTGTCAGCATTTCTGATTCAGAGACCAGTCCTTTGTTGGCAGTCAGGATTTTGCAGTTAGCATGTGGTGAGGAGCACACTCTGGCATTGTCAATAAGCAGAGAGATTTGGGCATGGGGTACCGGTTGTCAGTTGGGTCTCATTACCACCACTTTCCCAGTAACAAAGCCACAAAAAGTAGAACACCTTGCTGGACGAGTCGTGCTGCAAGTGGCCAGTGGTGCATTCCACAGCTTAGCACTTGTACAATGCCTCCCTTCCCAGGATTTGAAGCCAGTCCCAGAAAGATGCAACCAGTGCAGCCAGCTCTTAATTACTATGACTGACAAAGAGGACCATGTGATTATATCAGATAGTCATTGTTGCCCTTTAGGTGTGACACTGTCAGAATCCCAGGCAGAAAATCCCACCAGCAGTGCCATCACAACCTCTGCTCCTGAAACCCTCGGCAGTCAGGGAGAAGCGTTTGAGAACACACAAGGAGCAAGTGATCTGCCTGTTGCTACCGAACTGAATGATGGAAATGTTCAGACCACAAGTGACGATGCCATTTCCTCCCAACAAGACATCATGGCAACAACTGAAATTGCTTCTGCCAGAAACATACCATCCTACCCTGACACCCAGGCAGTAAATGAGTATTTGCGGAAACTATCAGATCATTCAGTAACAGAGGACGCTGAGAATGGTGTAAAACCACTGCCATGTCAGGTACCTGCTTAATGTTATAATATACAGGTGTTTCTGGAGTTGAACCATATGAGCTTTCCTTTGGTCACTTTAAAATGCTTAATACTTGGTAATATTTTTATTTTTTGAGTTTGATAATAATTCTGTTTTATCAGACAAGCCTAGATAAAGAAATAATTTGGATTAATTAAAAGTCATTCTTTATGTTCAAGTTCTGGCCCTTTATAATTTTGAAAAATATCATGCTGGGTTTGTTTTTGTAAGTAGCAAAATCTCTCTCTTTTTTTTTCCTCCCTAATATCTTTCCCTTCCCCACTCCCCACCCAGGCTAAAATAGTGAGTTTTTGTGGGTAGTTACATATTCACAAAGATTATTCTGACCTGTATTGGTACCATTTTCTAATGTTCTGTAGAGAACTCTAAGAGGGCTTCTGTTCTTCCTTTTATCAGGAAGGCTGCTGTGTAGGCAGATCCCTCAGTTGTAGGCAGACTTAAAACTTACTGGCATTACATACTGTTTGAATTTTTTTTCCAGTTACAGTTGTGGGCCTTATTGGACTTTTTCTCTGAAGTGGGTGGATAATATTCTTTATCTCATTTAAACTACTCTTATTTTGAAAACTTATGGTTAAATGGAGAAAAAAGCTATTTACCAGGAATAAAAAATAAAGTTTAAGTCTCCCAGCATACAACAAATTACTATGAAAGAATAATTTCTTAGTGTAACCTTTCAGTTGTGCTCTAAGAACAATAAAACAAAACTCCAACAAAACCAAACCAAAGCATCTAATCATAAAAGAACTGTTTTTAGGGTGTTTTTACCCAGGTTTCTGAAAGCACACAGCCTCCTGATTCTTGCTGTTTACTCTATCAGGGTGAGAATGTGACTTAGAAGCTTTTTTTAGAAATAGTCTCTCTCACTGTCTACTCAGTGAACCATGTGGGTATTTGTTTTTGTTTTTTAAAGTCAACAATAAGCTATTTGAGGAAAGGCATTAGGAAAGTCTATAAACAAAATGAAAGTAATTTAACAGGAATACACGTAGAAACTTCTTAGACTTGTACATGGTTATAAAAGAGTTTGCTTTGACTTTTTAAAAGTCAATTTATTATTTTAAAGTTAATATTTTATTGTATGCAGCTTATTTGAGTATTATATTCCACCACTGAAATTGTATTTTGTTAAACATTTGAAGTTTTTGTTCCCTATGCCTGTAGTACATAGTAGTGTGCCTGTTTATATTAAATTTAATTCATTTTTTGTAAATAGTGTCTCAGTCATATGGCTCTTTCATTAGAAATTCATGTTGTTTAGACAAGTTTGTTCTTTGGGCTGCTGTTACTGAAAAGATACCTCACTTTTGTGAAATAAGCCACAAATTCTTTACAGTTTTGTGAAATAAACCAATTTTGGCAATGAAGCATATGCTTCACTATTAAATGTTAACTCTTGGTTGACTGGGACTGCTAAAATGGTCTCTCATCAAAATTATTGGTCCTTTATTCTTACATATAATTAGGTAGAAGGAGTCACTTAGAATAATATGATACTGATGTAAGGTAGGATTTTGTGCCTTTCTTCTAGCTAATGGTCAAAGCCCTTTAAAATAAACCAAAAACCAACCAAACTCACTGCCATTGAGTTGATTCCTACTCATAGTGATCCCCTTTGGGTTTCCAAGGCCGTAAATCTTTGTGGAAGTAGATTGCCCAGTCTTCCTTCTACGGAGTGGCTGGCGGGTTTGAACCTTCCGGTTAGTAGTCAAATGCCTTAGGCCCTAGGCCACTAGAGCTCCTTATTTAGAGGTTACTGTTTTAAGGGGTCAATGGTCAGAAACTCTTAAAATACTAAATATTTCTGTTAAAAGCTTTTTTAAGCAAAGGGTGGAAATGGTGATGATAATTCCCCTGAACAAGATATGAGGGCTGTATCACCAATGAAATACTTGCTTTCATATTTATCTTTTGTTTTATGTGTTTTATTTATTTAATTGAGTATTTTAATTACAGATTCCCTTGTTTGCACAGGAATAGCTCTTCTGCATTTAGTGTTTATTCCAACAAAATATGTTGAGTACTTACTACATGCCATGCACTATGCTAGGCACCAGCAACTATTTTCCTTAAGAAAATCAAAAGCCAGAGTTAATATTTCTGTTTATTTTTAGTGACAGAACAAATTAAGAAATGTATGTATACGTTGGTGATTTGGGAGTAGAATGAGAAGCTTTTTTTTTTGTTAATTGTAATCTGTGATGATATGCCCAGAGCTTTTTTTTTGTGTTTAATAGATAAATTTAGTGGTTTTCCTTCTTAGTAACCAATGCTGTTTGATTGATTGGATGAAATTACAATGGATTTTTCACCAAAATATTAGAGAGCTTCAGTTTGACTTTCTAATATCCCTCTGACTCACACTAAGAATGAACTATTTGGTTACAAATGCTTAATAATTAACCACATTTGCCCTCCATGATAGTGAGAGCAAAGGTAATCCTTCAGTTTATCTAACCTTCCAGATTGTGGAAAACAACTCACTGATGAGATAGTAGAAGGACTTGAATCTAAGAGCATAATTTATGGCTGAATAGGTCAGAAGTTAACTTACTTTTCTGCCTATGACTATGTATGTTATATCTAAATTCCTATTTATCAAAAATTTTTGAGGAAGGCTTTTCTTCTTAAAATCTAAATTTTTCTGATATTTCTTAATATATGTAAATGTCCTTAAAAGTGATCAGTAAGAAACCTTGCACCTTTCCAGCCTATATTCCAGAGCTGTCACTATGTACCTTGCATGAAATACAGTGTTTTTTACCCTTTTCCTCTCCCTCCCCTTCCACTGATTAATTTTATAAAAGCAGCTGAGATTTATTTTTAAACATCATGGATAAACAGAACACCCAAAGGGAAGTACTTCGTAAGGGACTGTATTTTAAGTACTGACTCCTAATGTGTTACATCCACAATCAAGTGAGAGTAGCTTTACGTTCTCTGGTTATTTTTAATCCATTAAGTATGCAAATAGTAATGGATGTAAACTCTCTTTACTAATTGTTGTATAAGTGATTATTTTATATGCATATTTGTTTATTTATGTATATTTTAGCCTCTTGTAGGAGAAGCAATTCCTAATCTTCACAGCCCGCCAACCACCAGCACCTCAGCCCTGAACAGCTTAGTGGTCTCTTGTGCATCTGCTGTTGGTGTGAGAGTGGCTGCTACTTATGAAGCTGGGGCCTTGTCTCTTAAGAAAGTTATGAACTTTTATAGTACAGCCCCTTGTGAAACTGGAGCTCAGGCAGGCAGTAGTTCCACAGGCCCAGAAGGTGTGAAAGATAGCCGAGAAGAACAGGTTAAACAGGAATCAATGCAAGGAAAGAAAAGTTCAAGTCTTGTGGATATCAGAGAAGAAGAGTCAGAGGGAGGCAGCCGAAGACTCTCTCTCCCTGGATTGTTGTCACAAGGTAAGGAAATAACCAAGTTTTGCAAATCCCAGATGTTCCTGACATCACATGCTATGTTCTATGATACAGTATGTTATACCATATTGTAATTTGCTTTCCTAATTATTTAAGCTGCTGTATTTGACTGCTAACCAGAAGGCTGGCAGTTCAAACCCACCAGCCACTCCTGGTTGCTATGAGTTGGATCCGACTTGATGGCAGTGAGTTGGTTTAGTGGCTATTTAAGTGTCAAATTTTATTAAATATTAGCCATCTTAGCAGTTTTAAAAGAAAGTTACATATTTCTCTGCTTTGGATATAACTGTAGAACATAACATTTTCTTGATGTCTCCTGCGTATGAGCCTTATTTTATTGTTCTGGAATATAGCAATGTTGTTGTTGTTGTTATGTGCCGTCGACCTGACTCATAGCGACCCCTCCTTGGGTTTCCGAGGCAGTATCACTACGGAAGTAGATTGCCCCATCTTCCTTCCGAGGAGTGGCTGGTGGGTTTGAACCGCCAGCCTTCTGGTTAGCAGTCAAGTGCCTTAGCCACTATGCTATCAGAGCTCCCTGAATATAGCAATAGCCTCCTTTTTTTCTGGTTGAGACCTGTGCTTCAGATAGCTGAAGTTGTAAATAAGTGACCATTGTTGAGTAAATGAGGATGTTCTGTGCTTGGCCTGCAAGAGGAGATCATTCTAGCATCCCCATGTAACTTATTTTTAAGTTTCAATAAAAGGAAACTTCGTTTTCCAAAACCATTAGCAATAGACTTTTTAGAGTATGAAGAGTATTACACTGTTGGCTGTTCTGCATTTCTTTATTCAGCAGTCTTGGTCATCTAGACTTTTACTTCTCAAAGGTGGTCTGCAGACCACCACTAGCAGCAGCACCAGCATCTGGGAACTTGTTAGAAGTAGAGACTCTCAGGCCCTGCTCTAAACATATTGAGTCAGAATATGCATTATGACAAGGTCCCCAGGTGATGAGTGTGCACATTCAAGTTTGAAAAGCAGTGGACTAGACCAGAAGTTGGCAGACTTCTGTAAAGGTTCAGAGGGAAATATTTTAGGATTTGCAAGCCATGCAATCTCTTACACAACTACTCAGCTATGCTGTTACAGTGTGAAAGCAGCCATAAACAATACATAAACAAATGAGCAGAGCTGTGTTTCAATAAAACTGTGTTTGCAAAAACTGATGGTGGGCTATATTTCACCCATGGGCTATACAGTTTGCCAACCCTTGGTTTACACCATCTTGTACGAAGCTCCAAAGGTAGGGATCCTAAGCTGTGCTAACGCGTGCCTTTTCTGCTCTGCCCCATCATTACACTTGTCTTTCTTACTGCACTCTCTTGTGCCGTTCCATACGTCTCTGCTGCCTTCTAATTCTCATTGCTGTTAGATTTTCATCTATGTAAATAAAACTCGTAGTTAATCCTGATTAATTTGGATATGACACATATATATAATATATAAGAAAGTTCATACATTTTGTTAAGTATGAAGAAGAATCTTACACCAAAATTTTTTATTTTGAAATGTCCTTTGGCATTTTAAGTATAAATGTATTTGAGATCTCCTTGAACAACAAATGGGGAATACTGAGTTTTGTCCGGTCATTAGACCATATGAAATACGTAATCATATTAAGGAACCTCTTTACTAAAGTTAAATTTGACTTAGTATACTAAAAATATCTCTGGAAAAGTTTTGCGTATGTTCTTTTCCCCTCTGTCTTTTAAAATTATCTTGAATCCATCCTTGAGGAAATATCAAGCAGGCTTATTTGAATCTCTGTATGCATACAAACAGATGGTATACTCACCAGAAAGTATGTTGATCTTAAGCCAGGATCTCTTTCTTGTGGTCCACAACTTAATGACTGAATAACAAAGTCTACATTTAGTAATATTTCATGATTTTGTTAAAAACATGCATTCCCACCAAATTGGTGTATAATATTTACATAATGTTATATGCTTTTGTTGAAATGTTGACACTATAAAAAGAAAGACAACAGTATTCTTTTAAAATATTATTTATGCTCTTATTAAAGAGTTTGAAATATTTAGTATTTACCTTTTATAATCTTCTTCCCACCATCAACATTCTTTAATTTTATATCTAAAATGAAATCTTTATTACAATTATTTATAATGTATTTGAACTTAGACACTGACTTGGAAAGGCTTATTTTGATTTTTCTCCAAAATGGGAAAAATATTTGTCTAGTGTTATATTTTGTTTCGCATATTCTCTATAATGCAAGTTCACAAAGTGTCAATGGATGTTATATAAGAAAGGATTCTGTGACTGAATGTTTGGAAGCAGTGTTGCGTTAAATAAAATTAAACAGGGCTTTTCATTGCAGAATCCGTCCTTGCCTTCACCATGCTGATGTGGGTGTGAATGGCTAGAGAAAGTGGTAGGAGGATAGAATGTAATAGGCTAAATCACCTTTTCTGTAGAGCCATTTCTAAGGTACCATGTTAGTGTATTTCTTTGAAAATCAGGATTTTATCAGTGATATCTTCTTTATTCATCCTGTGCTCTGATGCCATCCTGTTTCTTTTTAGTATCCCCCAGACTCTTAAGAAAGGCTGCACGGGTAAAGACACGGACAGTGGTTCTGACGCCCACATACAGTGGAGAGGCGGATGCTCTGCTTCCTTCTCTGAGAACTGAAGTGTGGACCTGGGGCAAAGGGAAGGAAGGGCAGCTGGGGCATGGTGACGTTCTGCCTAGGTAAGTGTGGCCTGTGTTTACCGATGGGAATTGATTGCATAATTTTTATCCTGTCACTGAACTCTTAACAAGAGTCTTTGGAAATCTCTTGATCTCAGTTTTCTTGTAGAGAAAATCTGGCCTCTTCAAGCTCCAGATTATTATGTGTCATTAATTCTGATAAGTTCTGTCACCTTAGTCTTGAATTATTCCTAATAATAAAGGGCTTAAGTGTCCATGGGGCACCTTTCTATCTCTCTTTTGATATATATTCACCTTGGTATAGGAGTTAATTGAATGTGAATGTAGTGAACACAGCACAACCAAGGTAAAAACGAGTATTTACATGTGGATGAGTATAGGCAAATTGGTGTATATATATATATATATATATAAAAAAACAAAGCACTGCTATCGGGTCAGGTCTGACTCATAACGACCCCTCCTTGGGTTTCTGAGGTGATATCACTACAAAGGTAGATTACCCAACCTTCCTTCCAGGGAGTGGCTGGTGGGTTTGAACCACCAGCCTTCTGGTTAGCAGTCAGATGCCTTAGGCACTACGCCACCAGAGCTCCCAAATTGTTATATGGGTAGGTGCAAGTATGTACATAGGTAAGAACAGATAGAAGCATCTATAGGTACATGTAAACACAAATATCTAGGTGCAGACACATATATTCATTGAAGACACAAATATGGATATTCCTTAGACATAACCAGATACTTTCCAACATTGATCTTCTGGGTTTGAAGGCTTAGGACCATAGTCAAATGGGACAACTTAGTTAATTGGCGTAACATACTCCACAAAAAATCACCCTAGTGAAGTGAGTAGTGTAGCTCTTAAAAGCTTCTGAACGGCCATCAAGCAACCATCAAAGACACAACTACAGGTATCTATTTGCCAGGAGTAAACCAGTAAGAAGGTAACCAAAAGCTCAGAGAACAAAAGTTTACACAGGCCACGACCTCAGTCACCCTGAGACCAGAACTAGATTAGTGCCTGAGTACCACCACTAACCATTTTGACTGGGGCACAATTGTTGATCCTAGATAGACTGTAAGGAAGATATGGAGCATGTGGTAGTTCAGTTTGTGTGTCAACTTGACTGGGCCTGGTTGAGTGGCTAGGCAGCTGGTGGTAGTTATTCCCCATGATGAGGCTGGCAATCACCTCCATGGTGGGATCTACCACAAGCAGCTGAGTAGCTGCCTTTGGGATGTGGTCTGCTTCCTGTATATAAGGAGAATCCTTGGGAATGGTCTCTAGTTATGGCACACTTGGACCCTGGACGTAGCTGTGTCATTGTTCAGCAGCTTGCCATGTTCTGCCGACCTTGGGACTTAAAATGGACTTGAATTAATGGACTGCCATGTAGTTTGGTAACATCGGGACTGTACCTTTTTACTTGTCAACCTAAGAAACGCCTCTAGCTGCAGTGGGCCGGAAGCAGGAGGCAGAGCTGGACCCCAAGGTTGAGGGGCTTTCACCCAGCCTCTAGTGCCTGGCACTTTGACTTGGACTTAAGCCTCCAAATTGTAAGAATAAACTCCTGTTTGTTTAAGCCATCACATTTGTGGTATATTTCTGTTAGAGCGGCACTAGGTAAGCAGAACAGAGCAGAACTTAAATTCCTATGGGGCGGGGAGCCAGACAAACAGAAACAGTTGAGAACAGAGGACTCCCTGAGACTATATCTCCCTGAGATACTCTTTAAACCTTGAATTGAGCCTACCCACTGAGATCACCTTCTAGTGAAATAGCAGAGTGGCACATGATATAAAGGATATTATCCTACTTAAAAACCAAAAACCATCAGTATAAAACCAGAATGTCAACAATTACTCAAAAGCAAGGATGAGAAGATAAGGGGACAGGGAAACTAGAGTGCTGGGAAGGGACCATAGTGAACACAGTAAGAATGTGGGCACATTATGATCAATGTAACTGATATCATTGAACCATTTGTGTGGAAATTGTCAGATGAGAACCTAACTTGCTATGTAAACCTTCACCAAAAACCCAGTAAAATCATATTTTTAAAGAAGGGTGAGGGTGGTGTTGGGGATAAAATGGTATTTCATTGGTACACTGGGATGTTCAGATTTTTAACTTACAAAAAAGAACCAACAGTGAATAAACTAATGTGCTTTTCATTAAAAAAAAAGAGAGAGCACCAGCAGTTTTTCACAGCAAAAGATGTCTCTGCCACTGCCAAAACAACTGAGATACTAAGTTGTGTCTATCCATGTGCACTGGTGTCCCTGAGTAGGGCATGTGTAGGTTAAGATGCTCAGCTGCTACCCAAGAGGCTGGAGGGTCAAGGCTACCCAGCAGCACTGTGGAGGAAAGGCCTGGTGATCCACTTCTGAAGAATCAGCCATTCGTGGGTCACCATGAGTAGAAACTGACTTGATCGTCACTAGGCTTACCCATATACATTAGAGAAACTCTTAGGATATTGACAGGTATCTGTAAACTTTGTAGGTGTGTAAACAGTATAGTTATCTAAAGCAGCCAATTAATGTCTCTAAGCAGAATGAAAGCAACTATAATTTAAAAAACAACAACAACTCTTTACGGTTATATTTTATTGTGTCCTAAGTTTACGCTCTCTCTGGCGTAATGAATCATTTCTAGTTTTATTTTTTTTAATATAATTTATTTTATTTTTGTTGCAAATATACACAGCAAAACATATACCAGCTCAATTTCTCCATGTCTAATTCAGTGACATTGGTTTCATTCTTTGAGTTCTACTGCCATTCTCACCCTCCTTTTCTGAGTTGTTCCTCCTCCATTGATACAAAGTCACTGCTCCCCAAGATTCCATCTAATATTTTGAGTTGCTGTTGTGAATTTGATCTCCTGTAAATGGTTTTTAAAATAGCATAATGCTCAAGGTAAATACTCTTGACTAGTGAAGCTAAACTATTGTTTGGTTTTAAGAAGAATTTAGGAGATACTTTTTGGTGTGATTATTTCAGGGCAACAAGTTTTGTGATTCATAACAGATTTGTATTATGAGGTTAATTATTGATTGATAGAGATCAAATTTAAACCATCCCAAAATGTTAGTGTATTTAGGAATAGATTGAACATATATCCAGTATTTTTACTTGTGAAATGTTTAGTTTCATGTGAAAGAAGTTATTCTAACATTTCAGAAAGGCAGTGATTCTTGTTGAGAGCACTGCTTTCTTTGAATTTATACGAGTGTATATGTTTTTCTTCAAGGCTTCAACCATTGTGTGTAAAATTTCTGGATGGTAAAGAAGTAATCTGTCTGGAGGCAGGTGGCTACCATTCTCTTGCACTTACAGCAAAATCCCAGGTAGGAGGCAAATTATTAAATGCTGATCTTATTTTCATGGAAGGCTGCATGGCAAGATTTCTTAAAGAATATCAGTGAATTTTTATTCTTAGATGAAGAAATTCCATAATTAAGATGTTCTTGGGGATAGGGGGAGATATTTTTCTTTTAAAATTCTAGAACCTGAAAATGACCTCTAGACTCATTTAAACCATACATATATAAAACCTCCTAAAAAATTAGTTGGTTTAAATTATTCTTATATATATTGAGGTAAGGTTTTTCCACCAATTTTTTATCTTTTTGGAAAGTCAATAAAAGATTCTAAACCCTTAAATCTTTTATTTTAAATTTCACATGCTAGGATAGCCCAGAAATTAAATCCATGTGAGTAGGTATAAATATTGGAAAGTAAAAGGAGAATTTTCTATGATTAACATGATAAATCATCTAAAAAGCTTAAAAATGAGTAAACAAGATGTATACACAGACCACTCAACCCAGGGGGATGCACCCAAATACTCTTTGGAAATACATCCCTTGGAGCAGTTGATCACGGGGCACGGAGGGGCAATATTCACAGGAAATGCAGGACATTTACTTAACTTCCTACATATAACTATGAGGGGCATGGGAGGAGGGTGGTTACTGGGTAGGGAGGGCAGAAGACTGGGTTAGCCTTGGGGAGGATAAATGGGGAGTGAAACTAAATGCACCCAAAATGTTGAATGTAAAACAAATTCTGCTCTGTAAACTTGCACGTAAAGCACAATAAAAAAATAAAATAAATAGCTTAAAAATGAGAGATTAGGAAAATGCTCTGGTAGCATGGTGCCTAAGGCACTTGACTGCTAACCAGAAGGCTGGTGGTTCAAACCCACCAGCCACTCCTTGGAAGGAAGATAGGACAATCTACTTTCGTAGTGACACTGCCTCGGAAACCCAAGGAGGGGTCGCTATGAGTCGGGTCTGACTCGATGGTATATAACAACAACAACAACAGGAAAGTGCTCAATTACAAAATCAACATATATGAATGACTGGTTTTGTTCTAGATCTGCAGTAAGACGGAAAACGTACTTGGGGAAAAGAGAAGCTACTCATAATAATAGCACAAGTGTGAAGGAAATAGGAATCATCTTGATAGGAAATGTGTACAGCCCATATGGCATATGACACAAACTCTAGAACACTTTTAAAGTGTCATAAAGAAAACTGGAAAAGGGGGAAAAAACTGGATAAAAAGAGAGAAATTCTATTTTTAGATAGGAATTGTTGGTATTGCAAAATGTTTTTTCTCCCTAAATCTGGAAATTCAGTATAATACTAGAAATATTCCAATATAATATTTACAACTTGATAAAGTGATCTCAAAATTATCCTAGGAGAATAAACGTAGGAAGTTAAGTAAATTGTGCAAAAGAACAGAAAGAGTGAGGCTTAGCTTTATAAAATATATTGCAAAAGTGCAAATAAATCAGTGGAACAAAAATATGCCTGTAGACTAGACAGGAACTAAGTATATATGGTAATTTAGTATATGGTAAAAATGGGCATTTCAAATCAGTCGAGGAAACAAGACTGAGTGAGTATTCAATAAATTGGCTTCTCATTTGAAGAAAATACAGAGAAAATAATGATGCATATTCCTTTAAGATGTAGATGTTAAAAAATAAAACCTTACATGTATTAGAACAAATTTGTTACTTATTTTCTTAAACAGCCTTAAGAATAGAAAAGAACATAATATCAAAACCAGAAATTAGAGAGTAAAGTTGCTACCTTTGTGTATATAAAAATTAAGCAGTACTAAATAGCAAAAAAAAAAAAAAAAAAAAAATCTCTGCAAACAAAACAGGATGCATAACAAACTGGGGAAAAATATTTATAACATACATGGTAGATAACAGGCTGCTA